CCTCTCCTTTCTCTGTTATCTTATTGCATGGATTCTATTTCCTGTGTTTATTTTTCTTGTCTGCTTGGCTGGCCTGGAGGGTCTCACCTGCTGGAAAACTGCCATTACTTCTCTATCTGCTGCACTGGCCAAGGGTTAGCAAAAAAAGAGTTTTAGGTCACTTGTAGTTTTCCTGCGATGCCTGACTACCAGCAGAGGCCAAAGGCCACAGATGCTGAGGGAGAGCAGGTTCCTGTGTGTCCTTACCTGGTGACATCAGCAGATTAAACTCTTTAGGAAAAAGAACAGGGACACATTTCACAGCACTCGGATTCATCTGGCATGGAGAGAACACAGCCACCTGGAAAACACTGAATTCATGGCTCTGTCCTCAAGGACCTCCCTTTGGAGACCGTGAACACGTCTGTGCAGCACACAGAGCACAGCTCTTCCCAGACCTGACTGACACACAGGCTTCAGTGTTCAGTGTCAGCCACATGTCACTGACCCCAGGACACAGCTTTATGCTTTGGACGGGAAGAAGGCATTAAACTCTCCCAGGGAGGATTGTATGTCCCACACAGCGTTTCCAAATCAAAGGCTGATGGAAAGATCCTCCTGCAAGGGAATCAGAGACTTCTTTTAGCATAGAGAGCACGTCCTCTTCTCCAGCCACACAGGGAAAATCTACAAGAACACAGTTGCTGCAGTCCTTGAAAGTGCAGGTAGTTTTGAACCATGAAAAGGCACAGGCAGCGCCTGCATTTTGGATAAACTTCTCGTGCATTAGGTCTGGTGTATGGCAGGAAAGGAGGGATCATCTGCAAATATAGAATTTAGGATGGGAGAGAAACTGCTTGGGAAGCAGTGGCTCAGAGAAAGCAAGCCAGAAGTGTTTCTGATTAAAAGACATAGATTCCTATGCATTGGCATATTCCATAAGGAATAGGGGATCTTGGGTTTAATTTTATTGCAGATGAATTGCTGGGTTAGTTCAGCAGACTGGAAGGCCTCAGTGCAAGTTAGGGATATTATTGTGTATTTCCTCTGGAAGGAAACCAAAATGCTGTTTCTCATGACTTCAGAAAGGACACAGCTGTAGAACAAGCAGCTGAGTCTCAGCTTTACTTGTGGCATTGAGTTACCGATGGTGGGAGAAAAGACTATTTCTGTTTTTCCAGTGCAACCTTTAGCATTTTGATCCTTCTGGAATTAGAGGAGGATCTTGAGGAGGGTCTGAGATTTTTTTTGTCTCCACCCTATTCTGTCAGTGCTTTTGGCATGGATATAAAGAAAGGCAGGAAACACTTGGAATACTGGACTGCTCCCAAATGGCAAGCCTCAGAAATGAGGCAGTCAGCTGTCCTTTAAGGTGCTGGGTGCCATCTAGCCCAGCACCCCTGTACTGGTGCTGGGTGCTCTCCTCTTGAGACTCTGCCTTTCAATCAGTCACAATCCTTGTGAATTAACTGCAGCCATCTCCCAGTGCCTCTCTGGATTGGGAATGCAAACATTAATCCTCTTCTCCCCCGTGTCTTTTGGATCTGCAGAATAACTTCACAATCAGATGTGTTACCAGCACAGAACAGCTTCAAGTCAGCAGCACAATCTTCAGTCGCCTGCAAGGAGCCTTGTGTATCACAGGGCTGGATCAGGAAACCTGTGATTGCTCACAATCACATTAACAGAGAAGACAGGATGTCAGGGAATCACTCGGCAAGTCTCAGAGCTACCATTCCTGTCACCTGTGAAACCAGTCAAATTCTCTGGATGATGGAATGGTTTAATATCACAGGATCCAGTGTGTGTGGCAGGGCTGCTCAAGACATTAACACAGGAAGCAATATTGTTCAATGTCGACTTAACTGCCTGGCAGGTTATACAGTAATGTGGAAGGATGGGAGCCCGCTTGGGCCCAGGACTCACAGCCCTGCAAACATTTCTCCTTGGGAGGACTCTTTTTTTCTATAGCTCAGTGGTAAAAGCTTGTATGAGCATGCAGTCAAAATGGCCTTCACCCAGCCTGGGTCAGCTTGGGCAGAGGTGCTGGGCCCAGAACACCTGTCCACAGGAGGCTTCAGCATCTGCCACTGCTCAGCCCTTCAGCACCTCCGAAATAGGAACTTGGCAAACAAAGCCAACAGAGTGCATTGCTAAGCAGAACATTCTGCCGAGTCCTAACACCAGGACTGCGTGTTACAGGGCACTTGCCAATTCCTGAGTCAACTTTATTTATTATACACAAGAAAGGTCATGACGAATCTCAAAAGATAAAATCTGTGTCTGTCAAGTCACCTTCCTTATTTTCATTGGCCCAGACCCTCATGTTCCACACCAATAATAACAGGACATGGGTTCAGGAGGCACCATGAGTGCAGCTTACCCTGAGATGGCCCAGGCTTGTTTTGCGTTCTTCATAGAACTGATCCAGGCTGCTCATTTCTCTTTATTAGGAGGTGGTTTTTTTCCTGGATGCAATCACCACACTGCACAAGAGCCCCGCATCCATGGAAATCCCAAAGAACAGGCACAAGCTTTCACAGTCCAGATGATGCCAAATACCCAAATGATGCAGCTGCAAGTTCTCCAGCAACATGAAATACCTGAGATATGCTTAACTCCCAATTAGAAGAAATATCTTGGACCAATACCAGCCCAAAAAATATCCCCACGATCTCATCAACAGCTGAGGCAGCAAGACACCCCATGCACATAGATTTCTTCATTGTCATTATGAGCTGTTACCTAGTAAAGGCAAAAGATTGGAGCTGCCTCAGGCTCTGGATAAATCCTTGGCTAAACTCAAGCAATTGCAGCTCCAGTGCTGTCAGTGTCCAAGCTGGCAGGTTTAAAGACTTCCCTGGGATCTGTAGAAGTTGCAGTCACCTCTCTGGATTGCAGCAGAACACTCCCAGAAACCGCAGTCCCTGCTTTGGAGTTCAGTGTAACAGTCTCGGACCACACAGTATGGATCTGCACTCCACATAACCTCATCTTTGTACAGCATACTCTGAACTTGCAGATGGAAAGTTCTTTTCCCACTCCTTGACTTTCACTTGCTGAAAAATCACCACGCTGTTCTCAGACCCAAACTTGGTTTAGATTACTTTCTTTGATGTGTTGCAAGGACTCTAATTCTTGAAGTGAAGTTCTGATTTTCTGAGATCTAGACAGCACTTTCCTGACACTGCAGGATCTTAGCAGTGACTGCTGCAGTCCCAAAGCAGAGAAATGACTGCATCTCACAGCCAAAACTCCTTCAACATCCCCATCCACTGGGTAATTTCTGAGGAAACATCTCCAATATCCAGAAATGCCCCTCTTTGTTATCCGAACAACACTGAAGAGGAGATTGTGAAGTCAGGGAGGAACACAGGTCCACTTACCATTCAGCAAGACTCCAGCATGCAGTGAGTCACTTCATCTAACCTGAGGTGCTTATCTGTGGGATCAGAGAAGTGGATTCCTCCCAGGATCATTCAGAGCAGGCAAAAGTCTGTCTCCTTCCCATGAATGAACACACAGAGAATCTCATTTCTCACATGGTCACAGTCAAATGCAAGACTGGAAGTATCTTTCCTGTGAAAGTAAATTGTGAGGGCCTCAGAGGAGGTGCTCAGAGCTTTTTAATGACCTGAAACTTTTTGAAACGCATACAGACACTTGTGTATATTATGCTTAGCACCAAAGTCTTCCTGTTTGGGGGCAAAAGTGATAAGAAAGATTCTGCTGCTTTAACTACTGAGAAAAGCTCTTTAGCCAAAATCATTATCTCCCATTTGTAGGAAAAACCTACTAATCCTCCACAGCCCCATCCTGCTTCATCACTCAGATACGTCAACAGCTCCCCAGTGCTGCAGCCAGCTCTTGTCTACAGTAAAAACCCTGCAGAGTCTAATTGCTCCGGGCAACTGAGCCAAGGTGTGGATCTCTGAGCAGAGATTTCTGATCAGGCCAATTGTGTTGTTAAGCTGGGAGCTCTTTCTGTTCTTCCAAGTTCTCTTTCTTAGGTACGAGCATTGTTCCCGCTGGGCTCCTGCAGACGCCCATTGTTCTGAAGCTCCAGCCTTTGATGCTGCAGAACAAAATGCACAGTGTTTGTGACAGGAGGGAAAATCAAAAAGCTTCTCAATTACACACTTGGTTGAACAGCTTGGGCTGCAGAGCACCAGGGTGCCAGAACCTCTCCACAAACTGGGGCCTCCTGTGAGGAGGCCTTGAGCACAGCTCAAAGTGACCCAAAAGAGGGAGTGACTGGTGGTTGATGGCTATCTGGTGAACTTTCATTTCAGAACCTCCCAATTCCAAGTGCTCCTGGATTGAACAGACTTCTATTAACCTCCTTAGACACATATTTAGTAGCTGCCAGCTGGAAAAAGCTGGAAATTACTCTTGCTTCAGCATTGCTCAGATTTGACAGGAGAAACATCACAGCAGCATGTAGATTTCCTGCCTCCATTTCTAGACTAATTTGGCTGGCAAAAACTGGGCAGAAGTCTGAAAGGGTGATGGTCTGAGATGCACCAGCAGGGCCACATGGAAGGAGAGCCAGCAGGGTGGGATGGCCCAGTCACAGCTGGCAAAGCTGTTGTATTGGTGCAGTTATGGACCCTTAGGTCTTGCTGCAGAACACCTCCTTCCTGCCAGGGCAGTGGTTTGGGTGAAAACAGCTCTATTTTGTGTTCCATACAGAACTGTGAACAATTTCTACTGCCACAATGACAGATCCTGGGATGTTAGAGATGGGAGGAGTCTTCTAGTCCATTTGGTTCTGTCACTTCAGTCTGTGCTAATCTCTTCTGTGAAAGCACAGGCAGCACCAAGGAGAGAGCTCTCCAGAAGGATCAATCAATGGAGAAAGCTAATAATATAATAAAAAAATACTTGCACACAAGACCCAGCCAGCCGGATCTTCCTGGGACAAAGGCACGCACACTCTCTTTTACAAATATATTTTATTATTTTAATGCTTATTAAGAAATGTAACCAAGACAGACTCCGCAGCACCAGCGGCTCCTCACTGCCCAGCAGTCTGATGACTTCACAGATATGAAAACTTCACAGATTCAAAAAAACCTTTGGTCAACGCACTTTAAATACATTTGCATGCACAGATTCTCCCACTCCCTTCCCACCCCCCAATGGTAACTGACAGAGGGAAAACAACACCTATATCGTAAAACATTTAAATTAAAAGAGTAATTGTTTCATACTGACAGCATGTGCAGCAGGGTGCTCATAGTGTCTTGGTTTGCAGACCACAGAGAACCTCTCCACAGGACAGTGCAGGAACACCAGCTCCTGAGACAGTGGGGGGAGTGAAGGATGCTCTCAGATCAACAGGTTCCAGTCTTGATTTTAACACATCCTTGTGTGAACAGCCCCAGCAGGCAAGTAAGGTGGGGGCACAACAACATTGCCCCAGTCTGGGGATTCTCTGTCAGGGTTAGTCACCTCTCATGCAAATGAGGAACTGGCAATTTTTGTTACTCTTTATGTGCTTTGCCATAAAGACAGCCAGAAGCTCAGGGCTGGAAAGAAAAAACGCTGAAATGACTCAGTGCAATTTGATGCCCAAAACAATTTGGGAGAGAACTGACTTTCAGGCAGCTGAACTTAGCAAACACCACTGGAGACTATTGCATGCAGGTTTAATGCCTTGCAGCACCACTGCAGCCTGTTTGTCCTTCCACAGGACTTGGATGGAAGGATTTGGTTTTAGGGTAGGGCCCATGCTCATGAAGCAGAAGGGGATTTGTTATACCTGGATGTGCTCATGAAATGGAACAATGTATCTGGAAAGGACATAATCCATAAGAACCATCCCGGCCTCAGTCAATATAGACCCTACAAAGTCAATCCTGTGACACCCTGAGCACACCCCAGGAAGGGCTGATCCTTGCAGTGACCCGAGGAGAGCTGTAAGGCTGTACATCCCTTCCAGAGACCTTCCTCAGCAAGTCACACCTTGGTCTCATGCCAGCATCATCTTTACACCCCACAGCACCTTCCAGCATATTCCTGCTCCTCTGAAATCCTCCCAAACACCTACTCTACAAATGCTCCTTCACTACCAAGAATTCCTGTCCATCCTGACCCTCCAGTCTCCCACACCTTAGAGGCTTCTCTGTATCCACCAGCATCCCCTGAGGCAGCTTCAAAAAATGATCAAAGGTTCAGATTATTCTATGTCACTCCAAGTCCACCTGCACCCTAGCAGGTGGTCCTAGCTGGCCCCCATCTGGGACCAGCAAAAAATCCTTTCTGTCTCCAGTATTCCCACCTGTCCCACCATGCCAAATTGCTTCTCAGTTCAAGAGCCGCAGTTCAAGCTTGCAGAGCTTTGAAATGTCACTGATCCAAAAGGGACTCTGCAGCATACAGCTGTAAGTGCATTTATCTGCACACACAGAAAAGCAGTGCCCTGTTGAGGAGAGAGCCCCAAGAACTCTTGGTAAAATTACTCCTGGCAACTGATCAAACTTCGTTTTCTCCAAAACTCTTATAAAGCAAATAAACTCTGGAGCCTTAAGAGTCTTCAGGGAATGGGGATATTCATGGAATGCCCACATGCCAAATGAGGCACATCATCTCTCTATGCTTCTTCTGACTTTTTTAGCAAGAAGTTCCCGTTCAATGAAATTAGTCTGCTGACCTCAGCTCCTACTCTCTGGACCCACTTCACCTGGGATTCCCAAGAAGGTCTTCTCCAGCCTCTCCTGATAGTCACCTCATTCTTCCCTTTGTCTTGCCACCATCTTTGTTTATCCAGAACAACTGGATCAGCTAAACATTCTCCAGCTTGAAGAAAACTGGGGATATGAGTGGTCCTAGGAAGTTTGGAAGGCAGGTACTTCTCTCGAGGGTGGAGAGCTGCCAGGAGAAGGAAAGAGCACACTTCGCTGATGGGACCTAGTGCTTCTTTCTTTTTTAAGAAAAACAAACCAAAAAGCAGGAAGACCTGAAATTATGATCCCTAGGAAACAAGAAATATGAAGTCCAAAATTCTGTTCAAAAAGCTCCTGCTCTCCCCAGCTGCTTCAGAAACATCTTCTGAGGGTCCATCTCAGCCAAATGTTTGCCAGAAGGCCTAGCACGTGGTGCAGCTGCAATCCCTTCCTTTCTGTGACTGCAGAGAGCTCCACAAACCACACTCTCCTGTCTGCCCTTCCTCCTGCACACAGCCCACCCCCTTCACACACCCTTTTCACGTCAAGTCTGGATCACTAATATTAAAAGGGACTGGATACACTTGGGGGCAGCTCAAGCAGCAACACAAAAGCTAAATTCAAGATATCTGGCAAGTCAGTAAGTTTGCGTGGTGATCTCGTTGGGCAGGAAAATTTTCCAGAGCAATCTGGAAAGCAAAACAATCCTAAGCTTGTCCATCAACATAGATCAACTTGATTCTTGGGACAATCAAGCAAGAAACTGCCACAAGTGAGTGTGGAGATGCTCAGGAAACGATAGAAAGCAGCCAATCCACACCAACTCTTGGAAGTCTGATCCAATGCAGTGCAAACCATCCCTTTACAATGGCAGCTACAGCTCAACAGGCAACTCTTCTGCACTTCTGCGTGTTCCAGCACATGAGCAATGCTGGTATTTTCCCACACTTCCTTCCCTGCTCTGGGTCTTTGTGGACCTAATTGTTATTGACATGAGTGCCGGATGTAATCTTGTGTTATTCTTAGAAACATTTTAGCTCCCAGCTGAGGCCTGAAGAGAACAGCCCCCCATTTTCCTGAGTTCCTCTGCTGCTGTTACAGAAGGTCAGAGAAGCCACCACACAAATAACCTACAGAAATATTCCATCAAGAAGGATCAAGAGTAACGATATCCCGAGTCACCTACGGAGGAACTACCTATGACGTCAGTCACAGGGAAATGGCTTAGTGCTCCTTAATGGTGGTATCACTGGAGTGATGATCCTCTGACGTCAAACTATGGGGAAGAGCCCTGCCAAGAAAGCAGCAGTTCAATTAAACCATGAAGCCTATTGTTTTACAAACTGGCCTCTCTTTCTGCTAAGGACTGTGGTGGTAGCCACGCCTTTTTATCCATCTGACAGTAAATTTTGTGCTATCCCAGAGGAGCTACATACCCAAACACATTCAGCACCACAAATTTCTCCCCATATGTGTGCAGGGAAACTGGAAAAAAGAAAATTCTCCTCAAAATAAAACTATTTTTTCATTTTCATAGTTCACAATATATAAACATGGAATAAGAACACGCAAAATTAACCTGCTCTTCCTCAAGTATGAAAATCCAGTTTCCCTTGGCTTCTGAAACATTAGTGGACAGACACGAGGAGAACCCAGATTGGGGGAGGATATTTCTGATGTTTTCAGCTAGAGAATAAGCCTCAGATCCCTGGAATGACAAGACTTTTCTTTTCCCAGTAGGATCACTACTGCCTGTCTCCCCAGAAGGCTGGTAGTACTGGACATGGATTATTTGTCTGAAAAACAAAACACAGACAATGTTCAGGCAGAATTCAAGCTGATGTGTTTTTCTGCTGTCCTTGAGCTGCCAGACTTCCTGTGACACAGAGAATTACCAAACTGCAATGAAACACCTCTGCAACAAACCACAGCAGTGTGTACACTTGCTGCAGCATAGATTTGCCTGTTCTTTTCTACAGAAAGTAAAAACTGCAGTTTCTAAACTGAGTTCCAATGCTACTGACACCTTTCAGCTTCTCAGAGCAGGAGCATCTTCTAACCAGACAGGCCCAGCTCTGTTGGCCTCTGCACCACAGGGACACATCAGGCTTCACAATAAAAAAACTGAAATCACTGGAGAAAAGGTTTTTAAACAGAGCTTGTTGGAATTCCAAAATTAGGTGAAGTATGTGGGTGGGTTGCTCTCTATCCTAAGAAAGAAGAAAGAAGTCCCTCAGCCTTTTGAGTGAGGATGAAGGTGACTGAAATATGGAATATTACCTCCCCTCACGCACATCTGGGGCCATGGAAAGAATTTGCATTCTAGGAGCTCAGGAAGAGAAGCACAGAGACAGGGGGAAAGCAGAAAATGCCATCAGCCTACAAAGAGCTCACACACCCACAGCTCTTCACAGCCCTGCCCTGAGAACCCTGCCCACAGCTCTGGCCTGCAGCACCACGTCCTGCTAACAGCCCTTTTGCCAAGGGAAATCCTTGGCAAGGCTCAGCTTTGGTGATTTGTTTGACACAGTGGAGCACTAAGAAGCTATATTTGCTATGTGCATCTGGAACACTGAGCACTCAGGGAACAGATATGAGTTGTTGCCCATCTTGTATAACTTAACATAAAGTAACCTTATCATCATGTGGGGAAAAAAATCATTTGAGCAACCTGTTGCAGTATAAGCTTTAAAAACACAAACTGAAAAACAAAGTGCCATGGTTGAAAGTATCCAGAGTTCCCATCAGGCAAATTCCTTCCCTCTCCAAGCAGCTCCTGCCATCCTTTCTGACAACAGATTTTGCTATCCCCCTTCTGCTTGTTGCAGGGCCACTTAGAGGCCCTTCCCAGTTGTTCTTTGTTATTCAGCAAATACTTCCAGCCATGCTTCTGTTTCCATTGGTAAAAGACAGCGAAACCAGCACTCAACCACAGGCACAGTACAGCACAGTGTCACAAAATCTCTGCATCAGCAGTCTCCCAGTGCTGAACTTGGAATGCCATCCTCGACCTTGGCACTGCTCTTGGTGACAGGTCATTGATGGGTAACGTGTCCCTCCTTCCTTAGTCCACTTCAGCGGTCTCTTGGCTTTTCTCCAGTCTGGTATTTAGGATCATCCAATAGTCCTGGATATGGACCCCTTTCTCCACAGCGATCTGAATACACTGCTCTCCCCCCGCCCCCCAACCTCCCTTTCTGCCATGGCAGAGGTCACCAATGGAAAAAAAAATAATTCTACCAGGAAAACTTCGAAAGTCTCATCAGGAAACATCAGCGGCAGCAAAGGCTGCTCTTTCCAGATCTGAGTAAGACACCTGGGCATCAATCAGCTCTTCACTGTGAAGCTCCCTGTTCAGGCATGCATCTGAGAGAACCCCATTTTTGCAGGAATGTGGGAGATGCCCATTTGTCTCCAAGTCCAGAGCATTTCCATTCTGGTGCCATTCCAAGCCAGCTTTGCATTTGTTTAAGTCCTGCTTTTCAGGATCCCTGTGGATCTCTCCATTGGTGTATACCTCTAGCGCATACTCACTGATCCGTATGCTGGCGTTCTCTGCATCCCCACCATGGGTGGAAGTCCTGGAGCTGGCTGCTCCTGCCTTGAAGGGCTCCTTCCGGCCTAGGATGTGCTGGCTGATGATTTTTCGGAAGGTGTATCGGAACTCCCTGATGCGGTAGGCATAAATTAGGGGGTTTACAACCGAGTTAGCATGAGACAGGATAATAGCCAGATACATCAGCCAGAGGGGAGCATGGGCACAATTTGGGCAAAAAAGGGTAAAGCAGTTAATAATGTGTAGAGGAAGCCAGCAGACTGCAAACAGCCCAACAATGATGGCTAAAGACTTGGCTGCATGGACTTCCTTCTGCAATGTGGAGCGGGAACGTTCCCCATGTACCATCTTGTTCTCCATCTGCTTGAGCTGGCGCCGGGCTGCCATGAAGATTTTCAAGTAGATACCAAACATGAGAAGGAGGGGCAGGAGCACACAGGCAAAGAAGTTGTAGTAGACCATGTACTCCATGGTGACCACGGCCTCGAAGAGACACGCCACCATGCTGTTGCTGCAGTTGATGGGAGAGGACCAGTTGGAACCCAGCTCTTCGATCTGGGCACGCTTGTGCCACCCCAGCATTGGGGTCAGGCCGATGATGAAGGACAACACCCAGCAGATGGCAATGATGCCTTTGGCTCGAGAGCCGGTCACCAAGCCATTGTACCTGGAAAGCAGAGGAGATGGGAGCTATATCAGTGTCATTCAACAAGCTGCTGGCACCCACGCAACCTCACAATGGCCCCTTGTTCCAGAAGACAGTGAGAAAGGCACCTGCTTCATCAGAGGGGCCTTTGCATTGATGTGCAGAACCCAATGCAGCACACCATGGACGTGGTGACACTGTCTGCCACCTACTTCCCTCCCCTTTCCTTTAAGCAGTGAATAGTTGACAGAAAAGCAGGGAAATTAGTTCAGTTTTCATCTGTGCTCCTTCACTCTACCAGTCCACTTGGGAGTGCACATAGATCTTGCAGCTTGGCTAACCAACAGCACTGCTCTGACCCTTGTGATGAAGACACTGTGGGTCTCTTGCCAAAGGCTAAGGCAAAGTCTCCTTCCTGGCAAAGGAGCAGCCTTTTAGCATGGAATTGTCTTTGCAGTAGATCAGTAAACCAAATAGCACAAAAGAACCTGGAGGCACAGTGCCACCACCCTTGTGTCCACATTCTGGTGTGCTCCAGGGAAATCCTGCTGGCTCAGTTGCAGCAGCCAGGTTGGCATTGCCTGCATGGCACTTCACTCTGCTCTTCAATGGCACTTTAAGGCAGACCAGCACCACCAACCTTCTTGAAACAACTGAGGCAAGTCAGCCCAGCTAAGTCAGCCCCATATCTTTCTCAGAAAGGAGGAATTAATCTGAGGACAATTCTCTGACTACAGGCGTGCCGTGGGCTGCACTGCACACACCAAAGGGACCTCAGTGGTGGAGGCATTGATGCCTGGCTGAAGCCAGTGCTCTTAACAGTTAACTCTCCAAGATCTGTTGAAAGAAACAATAAGCAACATGGTAAGAATCTGACAGTGCAGCAGAGACCTTGGTTTGGAAATATCAGCTAGTTTCCAAGGCCTCACAGGTTACTGCGAGTCCTGAGCTGACTCCACCAGTTCTTCCCTCTGAAAATGTAAATTAGGGCAGCAGTTTAACATTTCAATGCAATTTCCTTCCCTGGGTAATGCTCAGTATGGAAAGTAGATGGCCGGATTCCCACATTGTGCAGCGTGGGTCCCACACTTTATTTGACCCCATGTGTCTGTGATTGGACGGTAGCGCTGGGCTCCCAGTGTTTACCCAGTGCTCCTTCTCCCCCTGTCCCCTGAATTCTCTCTGAAAACAAACATTACAAGAAATAATACAACAAGCCACAGAAATCTTTCCATCTCCCAATGAAATAATTACTCCCACAGGTTCATGCTTCTATCCCAATGCAAGTTTGAGACAGGGGAGAAGAGTGGCTGCTTTTGCACAGTAAAGAATGGAGATACTGCACATGCTTGAAATCCCTGACAATGGGTCTTGGAAAAAACAAGACCCATCAGGCTTAAATTTCTTTCTTAGTTGCATTTCAAAACCAGAAAAGAGTGAGTGGATAACGGAGCCAACCACACAATTCCCAGCACACAAAACATACCTAAATTGCCCTTCCTGAAATGAGGAAGGAATTCAGCTAATTCTGAGGGAGAAAAAGGTTTTTTCCAGCAATTAGTGGATCCTGTCCAGAGCTTAAAGGATGCAAAGGGCACGGCATGAGTGGTAGCAGAGAGCTGCTCCATTCAGACCTCATCAACACATCAAAACAGCATCTGTGCTTTGAAATGTACACTCAGGGAGCAAGAGAGTGGCTGAAGGCCCTTGAAGCTTGGAAAAACAACAAAACAAAGCAAACAAACAAAACTAAACAAAAACAAAAAAACCAGACCCATTCCCCCCCCCCCCCCCAAAAAAAAATCCACAACAACCGTCAAAACCTTGCAGCCCTGGAATTAGCTACATCTTGTCAGAAGAATTTTGAAATTGTGCAGCTGTTATCCCACGACTAGAGATGTCCCTTCCACTAAAAATATATTCACTACTCCAGACAAATACCCCTCCAAGACTGCCCTCTCCCTCTTTTCCTCTGGGGATTCCCATGCAAGAAGCTTTACGAGGCTTCAGGACAGCACTCAACCCGAGCAGTTTCCCAGCTGCAGTGCATGTCCGTAACACCTTGCTCAGTACCTCCAAGGGTCAGGACAGAAAGCATCTCGTGACATAGCCAATGGTCTTGTGTTGGCCAGGTACCCACTGAGAAGTGCTAATTTGTTTAGGAGAGCTTAATTTCTAGGATCCACATGAGGCAGCTCTGACTGACTTGGCGGAGGTAGCATTATAGTCCAGATGGGTTTTCCTGGACCCTTTCCTCTTATCCACATTGAGGACTTCGTGTACGTCTCCGTGTACTTTGTCTCAGTATCTTTCCAGGCTCACAGCAGCCAGGCCAAAGCCACTCTCCATATCCTCAGTGCTGCAGAGCTCTACAGGGTAAGTTCAGGGCTTCCCAGGCACATCCTCTATCCCAGGAGTTGCTGGCACCATGCAGGAGACAAAACCAGCTGAAAGGAGGTGGTCACACCCACAGCCCTTGTTCTGCATAGCTGGCAGGTGACTTTACAGCATGTCTGATGTGGATTGTCTGTGCAGCAGCAGTTCTACTTCCTGGAAATAACACACTTGCACTTACACAAACAGCCACTTCTGCTCGTGAAATTTCAGGCACAAAGGACCAGAGTGCAGAGCACAGGGATGCTCATGGTGGCACTGGATGTGGGGATAGAGTCACCTGCCTCCTCTAAAAGGCAAAACCAACTTTTCAAGCACATGAAAATGTGAAAGTTTTCACCTAAAACAGTTTCACCTACCCTGCTGCTCTCCCAACCACCCAACTGGCAAAATGACTGCAGGAGAGCAGCTGCCCTTGGTGAATGTACAGCTCCTCTGGGCTGCATAGAGTAACGTGGCTGTGAATGTGACACTTCTGGGTCCTTGGACTAAATTCTGTACCATGAAGACAAAGATTCCTGCACAGAGTCTCTGAGACTGGGTGGAAGACAGTGCTGGTAGTCTGTCCAGAGTGTCTTCAGGAAGAAGTTAAAACCTTTCAATCCATTGCATGATGTGTAGCTGGCCTAACTCACCATTACTGTGTCCAGCCATCCTGCTGCTTGTCTTCCAGACCCTCCTTTGGTGGTCAGCACTGCACATCCTCTGTCAGGTGTGGAGCATTTTTCAGACACCTTTACTGCATCACCCAGAATGCCTGTGCTCAGCTGAGGGCTTTGATATGAATTCTAGCACTGCTCCAAGGTGCTTAACAAACCATTACAAAACACTGCTCACCAAACACATCCACTCAGCAGCCCACACCTCAGGCAGCTGCAGCCATCAGGGACAGGACCAAGCAGAACATTCAATCCTTGTTACATGTATGTGGAAATGAGAGACCTGGCAATCCCAGATCATCCAGGAAATCTGTGACAGGGCAAGAAATCAAAGAGACTTTCACCTGTACCAAACCCCTCAATCCAGAGCCTCCCTCCTCTATTGCCAGGTACTGAGTGATCCTGGTGTTTGTCCATGCTCTGGAGACAGGGGAGGTGGGCACAGATGCCCAGCATTATCTCTTCTCTAAACAGCAGAAGCAGGAATGACGGGCAGACACAGTTCTGCTCGTGACATGATCAGCTTCTTGAATAAAACCTTGGTAACAGCAAGTTCTGTGCAGGCCACGAGGGCACTGCATTCAAAGCCGTGCCCATGTTAAAAGAAGGAGGGGATTTACTCTGTTCTCACATTAGGCTGAACCTGCCCTAAATGTATTTAACATGAGCATATGTAGGAAATGCATTCCATAAAGTCAAAAGGTTTATGGTGAGCAGGGAAAGAAATAAGTCCACACATGGCTCAAAGTGACAATAAAACATTAAAACCCTGATTCGCTGGTTTAGATGCTCACGTATCAGCATTTCAGAAGGGAACCCTAGGGAATTGAAGCAACTACTGAAACAGGCTGCTCTCAGCACAAAGGTCCCTAGCACACCCAATACTTCATTCAGGGTTAGTGTTCATCTCCCCTATTCTTCCTAGACTTTGAGAAGCCAGTTCTTCATGTCCTCTGGCAGAAAACCACCTCAGAACTGCAGTTTAAATCACCACCACATGGGATAAATCAGTCCCAAGGCTCCAAACGCCAGGGAGCTGTACCTTAATAATGTTTCCCCAGAGAAGCACTGCAGTAGCAAAAGCAGCAGAGGAAAAGGCCTGCAGTTGGCACTGTATGACCTGCGTGTTTTATGCCTGAATCCAGCACAGAGAGCAAGAAGCAACCTCAGTAACCTCAGCAAATTTTGTGTTTGGCTGAAGGAAGGAAAATGTCCCCTCTCTTTCCAGTGTGTTGGAGCTACCTGTCCTTCCCCTGGGAATGTCTTTACACAAATGCCTGCACAGGAGCACGTGGCTGGGCATGGTGCCCACAGAGCCTTTGCTGGCACCACAGAGCCTGGAAAGCAGCAATTGTTCTTGGCCCAGGGCTTCATCCTGGGGCTCAGAGTCACAGCCAGTTTTGTTCACAGCACCTGAGGGTTTGATATTAGCCAGTGCAGGTTTTCAGGTACCTGCCATGTGAGAGACCTCATTTTGTCCTAGCGTGAACAATGGCTCAGGCTCCCTTCCTTGGGAGTGCCTTACTGCCGCTTGCAGAGTGTTATATTTGTATAAAACCTGGCAGAATTCAGCCAAGTGCTTGAGAACTTGTGGAAAATTGACCAAATTCTACAAAATGTTTAAATTGTTTGAAAGGCAGAACACCTAAGATATTCACAAATTCATTTTTTATCCATTTTAAATGGATAAATGTCTTTTCTCATTGCAGTTTTTTGGAGGAGGGTCTCTTCTCCACAGAAAAATAATTGGAAAGGTAACTAATAATGTACTGAGGGGTCCAAAAGCAAGCAGTATCACAAAACTCACTATTCTGACTTCTTAGTACTGACAGTTTATTTCTGTGAGAATACACATAGGCAGCTATCTTCATTAGGACAAATCAGACATTAAATATTTAAAGAGAAACAGAAGAATAAAACAAATGTATGGCCCTTTTTGGTTTCACTAGAGTGAAGGAAGCCTGGTTTATTAATGAATTAGCGAATGAATATTAGGAAAACCTGGTGGTATCTTTCATGTCCTGTGGGGAGGAGAAGAGGCCTTCCCAGGTATTAAAGGATGGGGTTAGAACAACACACTGTTAATGGCAGAACTAGCTTCAAATTGTTTGACCCATTTTTAAGACAAACCAGTATTAGAAAAAGAAAAAAACCATGAGGATGTGTGCAATCTAAATTATACCACATTTCCCTCTTCAGATAATCAGCTTTCACTTTCTCAGCATGTCTGAGGCTATAAATCTAATGCTTATTCATCCATAAATTCTAAAAGGGAAACACAACTGCCAAGTTCATCACTCCTGCTGTAAAAGGACAAACCAGCAGAGGACAGGGAGGAACCCATGGATTTACCTGTGGGTTTCTGCATCCAGTCAGTCCCTCTGTTCCTGGGGTGGAGGAGGGTGTGCTCTGTTTTTTCCAAAACAAGATAGTGAAACCGGTGTCATGCCCAGCACTGATGTAGTCTGGTTCTTTGAAAAGACTTTACCTTGGTTGTTCCAGGAAATTACATTTTCGAGGCAATATTACATTGATAGCCAAAAACGTGGGCAGAAATCCAGATTTTTAAAATCCCTTTCCTGGCAAGTCATCCTCTAGCAATAAGAGTGCTTAAACTGTCAGCAGACATCCTCAGAGTTAGCTCGTGAGAGATGAAATCAAGACATCAGCCCTTCTCAAAATCATTTCAGAGGCAGCTCCCAGGGGCTACTCAACATGTTTCCTTGTACCATTTATCATTATTTTGGTTTATAAACTGAAATAATCTATAGCAGACCTGTAGAAAAGTGGAGACAATCTAGTTTATAGGTAACTATTATGGACAGAGGTTTTTTTTTCTCTGCAGTGGAATGGAACAGTTATTCCTTACATCTACATCAAAACTAGAAGCTGTAAGAGGTATGACCAATGGGTTTGGAAATAACCCATTAAAGGCAATGTTATAGCAGCACAAACTTGCTGAGGAGAGGCTTCAGGAAAGACTTGGCTGAACTGGTCCACATGGAAAGGCAATTTCCGCTCTCCAGGGCTCCCATTCTGGTTTTGAACAGGAGGTTTGTGTTAATTGATGTAAGTGCTGCATGACCAAAGTATTCAGAAGAGACAGAACTAAATTGTGCAGGTCAGCACACGTGATTTAAGCTCAAAAAGAGTATGTCCAAAAACTCAAACTTAAGAGCACAAAAATCAGAAATTAGACCCATTTTTTCAGCCACATCAGTTGTTCAGGAGATGAAGGCAGTCTCTCCATTCCCAAGAGCGTGCTGCATCCTCCCAAGGACAAGACAGGAAGGAAGGAGACTCCTACAGTTCTCCTGCACCAGCCTCTCCAGGGGCTTCCTCTCCATCTCTGGAGCTCAGTGAGTGACTGAGCATTGTCACAGCAACGCGGCGCTGCCTCGCGCCCACGGGCACACACAGCCCATCACAACGACGTGCTCCTGCAAAACTAAACTCAGCAGCAGCCCCTGTGAGTGTGGCAAAACTTCCCCTTGTCCCATGTCAGCCTCCCTGCTTGCACACCAAGCAGCAGCCAGGCTGAGTCACTAAAATGTCCTTTTCTTTCTTTAAACTGCAGAGACCACAAAATCCCCATCTGCAGGCGTGGCTTGGGACAAGCCTGCACCTTGACCCAACCTATGCTGTGCTTCCAGAGGCAGTGCCTGAGCCAGTCCAAATCTTCCTAAGGCCCGTTTATTGTCAGCCTGCTGCTTCTTCTCCCTTGGCATTAAACAGACCCCTGAGAGAAAACCCCACCTCCCTGCCCCCAGCCCTGCTGCTACAGCTTCAGGCAGAACCCACCTCCTCCCATGGGGAGGGGGACAAGTTGACCTCACCCCCTTTCTGCTCTCCACCATCCTTCTGGTGCCACTGGCTGCAGCTCAGGGCACAGTTTGCCTAAGAATGGAGAGGCAGCTCCCAGGCAGCACCTCTGTGATGTCATGGACACCCATCAAAGGAGAGAGTAGAGAAGAACAGGAAAAAGAAGCATCCAGAAAATCCACCAGCCAAGGCAGACTTTAGGACCTAGAAAATTTGCTTTCAAAATACAAGAGAAAAAGCACTGATCCTTATTTAACTTTTCCTTCATTGATTCATCTCCAGACCTGTGGTTTTTAGGGATGTTGAGCCCTCACCACCACAGCCCAGCCCATGCTTACCTGAGGGGTATTCGGATGGCAATGATTCTGTCGATGGCGATAGCAAGGAGGCTGAAGATGGAACTCTGAGTCAAGACCAGGACAAAGCAGGCAATGAAAAGGCAGCCATAGAAGAAGGCACAGAAGCCAGTGCTGATGGTGATGGCAAAGGGGATTGCCAGCACGCCCACGGCAATGTCAGCAGCCGCCAGGGACACCACAAAATAGTTGGTGACGTTCTGCAAGTTGCTGTTCAAATACACGGCCCAGCAGACCAGGATGTTCCCCAGGATGGCCAGCACTGCAATGATCAGTTCCAGGATGATGTAGGCTATGTCTGAGAGGAAGTCGTCCTTCCCATGTACTAGCATGGTGAGAACAACCAGGCCCAAAGCTCAGCGTTCATATCTGCAGAGCACTGAACAGCCAAGACACCTCAAAGCTGCCTGGGGTCCGTGGAGTGCTCGGCTGCCAGCCCAGAAAGGGCTCACACACACCTTTTGCTCCCCATAGCTGTTCAAAGACTTTACAGTAGCTGGTGACAAGAAAAAAGCCCCAGGGTTTGCCAGCTCCAGCGAAGTGGATTAAGCAGGTGCAGAACAATTCAAACTCCAGCAGACAAACGGACAGGAGAATCTCTCTTGGAGACAGACAGTGCTCCCCAGGCCTCAGAGTCCAGCAGGCAGCACAGCACAGCAGCTGTACTGTGCAGCAGTGTCACATTGGCTGCGGTGCTCTGTTTCCTGTTGACAATCCCCCTTCTAGTCATGGCTTCCTGTCATCTCCATACCTACTAGCAACATCCTCTGGTCCTCTTTTTCACCTTTTCCCACCAGGACTTGGGAAATATTCTCTTCAGCTGAAGCAAACATTGAACTTTTTCACTTGCAGTTTCCTCTAAAAAAAAAAAGAAAACACCAACCACATACATTAAGTAATCAGCTCTATGGAGGAGATGGAGAAAGCAAAATCTCATTAAAGTGGCACATTAAATTGATAACGGATATTAAACAGACCTAGAAGAAGACATTATTGGCAAAATTCTCACATTTTGTCTACCCTGAAAGCTGCGGGGCCAAACCCAAGTTCAGGAAGGCAGCGTTTCACAGTGCTGATGAGAAACAAGGGACGTTTTGTTTTTGAGGCTACCAACTGAGCTGGCACTTCAGCAGCTGCTCCATAGCCCGCCCTGAAACACGAGAGCCCCACTAATTATGTCCTGGCAAGTGCTGAGGCTGCACAGAGGAAAGGTGGAGGAGCCTTTCACACACACCTGTCTCCCTCTGATCTGCAAACACCGGGTTTGAGCCATCACGTGCTGCCCACCCTCACGTGCTTTGCCACAAAAGTGCCGCACCAACACCCTGCTCTGCAAGGACACGGACCCTCATTCATAGGGGAGCTGCACTGCTGGCACGTGTGGTCGCTCCTCTGTGGCCACACCTGTGTGGCCTCCATGTATCCAGACACTGGAACAAGATCCATGGCATTGAGAAGTGTTCAAGGTGTGCCAGACAGGGACATCTTTGAGGACATTCCTTCTGACCATGCAAGCTCTTTGCAAGGGCCTCTGCAGGCTCCCCTCCTGCAATTCCATTATTTTTGTTCATGTAAGTCTGTATCCTACAAGCAAACCATTTGTTCCTTATACCTGCACTGTCCACAGTGTTTGTTGCATCCAGGACAGCATCATCCTTCACCTCTAACCAGCCAGAAACACGACCACCAAAACACACCTCTCCTAGAAATACCCACTCAGGCACAATGCCAGTGCCATGGCTCAGGGCTGCCTTCGAGTTCCTGCAGTGTCCTGCACGCAGCTCTGGGACTAAAGTTGGTGCTGCTTGAGAGGAAACAATCCTGCAGCTGCATTTCATACAAGCAGATGCACATCACCTGCATGCCCTTGCAGGTCACCTCGTACCTCTGCTTCAGATATGCGTGCATCTCACCACAGTTTCAGCTAAAAATACAGAAAGAAGAATACAATTCCCTGAGCTTTGTGCCACAGTCAAGAGATAATTGCTTGCTGTCCTCACCTGTCACTTCCAGAGTGGGTTGCAAACCTTATTTAGCAAGCTTTAGCAATAATATTTTCTCATTAATTTAAGAAACAGCTTGATACATCAGAGGGCTAGGAGAGAGAGGAACACAGCACTAACTGATAAATCACCATGTAACATGAACCTCCAAAACACACGATTTTTGAGCCACATCCACAGGTGATCTGGCGTGGTCTCACCCATCAGGGTTTGATGCCTTCACAGTTCACTCTGTTTTCAAGTCAGAAACCTCATTTCTCAGGATAAAATAAAAGGGTAAAGACAGTGATAATAAAAGAAAATATGATTAACTTGTGATTCACATCTGATCTCAGGAATATAATCTAATTTTAGACCTTTCATTGATTTAGAGCTCTATTGCTAATGCTGCATTTGAAAGGAAAGTGAATGATTCTTGGTGGTTTGGACATGCTTCAAAACCCTTGCTTTTCTCTACCTTCAGCTGTCTTGTTTCTGTGTTTTGTTTGGTTTTAGCAGAAGAAATCAACAGTAGAGATCAGTGTGTGATCTAGCTATCACGAGGAAAATAAAGATCATCCATTTAATCTTTTTTAAAGAACAAAAACCCCAAGAAGTCTCTATGTTGTCTATGCTCCTACAGCAAAACCTGCAGTTTTTCAGTGACTTCCTAAAAATGGCTTTTACTTTCTTGGATTTCAGGGATGTCAGTTATATTCCCCTGTAAGCATCTGCTTGTCCATTACAAATCCCAACAGGTTTGTTTCAAAGCAGCGATATTGAAACCTCACCCTCCAGCCCAGCTTCCAGGGAAGAGGATTAGAATTAATATAAGATAGAAATAAAGATCTGAAGGCAGAGAGAACAGAAGGGGCAGGATGAGAAATAAACAATGCTTTGTGCATGTGTGTGAGCAAGAAGGGAGGAAAAAAAGACAGGAAAAAGCTGGTAGGAGGAAAAAACAACCTAACAAAGGAAGCAGTGGGCAAAACAGGCTCCTAAGAGGAAGGGGGTGCAGGACACAGCTGTGTCTTAGACTCAGTTGGGTGTGAGCCCCTGAGTCCCTCAGCAGGACAGGGTGAGGCACAGAGTAGGAGCACACACCTCCCACAGGCTCACACCTCCCCATGCACAACAAGAGCATGTTCAAACTCCAGTACCAGGCCAAGTTTAGAAAAATGTAACAAATTACTCTGACATACTTGGGCCAAAACTACTGCTGAACCCACTGTAATTCCCTCACAAGAGATGGAGTCAGAAGAACTGAAGGAAGCCCTGCCAGCCTGAGAACTGGGCACCTTAATCTTGATGCTCAGAGGATTTATCTCAAGTCCTGCTATGTTGTTCTTTCCCATCATGTTCACAGCTTATACACCTCAGTGAAGAGGATCAAAGCAAAATTACTGGATATTCTTCCCCATTTGAGAGCCCCCTTCAGTAGGACCATGAATCCACACTAATCCTAGATGAATTCTCTTCAACCTGACTCTTTCAATGGCTCATCTCAAATTCCAGCAAGACATGGAGGAAAGTTAAAACTTCACTGTGGAGGTTCTGCACATACCAATGGCTCAGAACAAAGCTGAAATTTCCTGCACCTCTGCCTGAATCTGAAAAAGCACAGTGCTGGAATCTGAAGCTTAATGACTACATCACACACTATTTTCTGACACAACAGAGCTTTTAACCTTCTACTCTGACTGTTTCATGGTCTGATGTTAAATTTGAATTTTTTAACTCCGAATTTGTTTGTCCCTCGCTTCCCATCTCTCTACACAAACAGTGGCCTGATCTTCATCCCAAGTCCCAGTCATTTATTCTGAAGCAGTCGGAATGTTATGTCCAGAAAAGGACAGCATGTCCTTCCACCCTCTGCTCTCAGATGGGCTGGAAAACACTTGGAGTTCTGCAGAGCCAGCACATCTCAGGGGAGAAACGGCTGGAGCAGAGCAGGTGGCCCAGCCACGACAAAACAACATTTTGTCTCTGCTTCAGCCCCGCTGAGTAGCCACTGACATTAGAAAAACCAATTACTGGCCACACAACCCCAGCCTCACCTGCTGCTGACAGAATGTGCCACAACCTGGGAGGGTTCATGTTCAACCTGAGCTCACTCACCTCTCTCACAGTGTCAGCTGCTGTAGTGCTCACCTGACATAACAAATCTCCATTTCAGGAGTATTTGCAGCTTGTTTGAAAACAAGAGCAGGCTCAGTCTTTCTGCTTATACAGCTAGAAATTCACTGCAAGGGGACAAAACGAAATACAGACCACCCAGAGAAGATGACATAGATCCAGAAGCAAAACGAAATTTATTGTAGAATTGTCTACTTCATGCAAGACCCAAAGGCTCAGCAACCAGGTCTAATAAGAAAAAAATTAATTAACAATCTGCTTTACTCACTGGGGAAGTGTATATTTAACACCTCAGGCCCTTGAAGGATCAGCATGGCAAGCTTCTTGAAACTTAAGAAAAATAACCTGTATCACCCAACAGGCTGGACAGCTGCAATTAGTATTTCTTCATAAGCCCTTGTTTTATTTTGTTAATTCCTTCTTGATACCCCGGGCTATGTTCCGGCCTTTCCCTCATTATTAAATAAACCTTTTTTGTCATTCACAAACCTGTAAACCTGGTGCTCTGTTCGTTTTTAGTGACTTGGAACACTCTGTTCTCTCTCATATTTCAGTCCCAATGAGAAACTCCTCCTTGAAAATTCAATAAAGCATCTGCACAGCACGTTCCCATGAAGCAATTCACCAGCAGAGCCTAAGCAAGCTTTAGTTTGGCATCTCCAGTTGACTTTGGACCAAGGTGCTGCCCCTTCTCTCTCCTGAGTGCCAAAAGCATCGATCTGAGCCCTTGGCCACTGCTTGGTTCAAATCACCCACCTCAGACAAGCTCATCTCCTGCACTTGGCCCCTCTGGGCCGAGTCCATCCTGCTTTGGGAAGCTTTGGCTGCCCGGGCTCTGTCAGCTGGTACAGAGCAGACGCACCCTCTGTGCCTGCCGGGCTCACAGTGCCTGTGACACTTCAGTTTGACAGCTCCTCTCACGTATTAGCAAAAACTCCAGATGATCAGCAGCCCTTAGGGCACCCAAGACAGTCTGTGGGCACGTAGGTGACAGACTGCAGCTTCCCTGGGCCCCAGAGGGGTTGGTTTCTGTGTCTGCTCCAGGATGGGGCAAGAGAGGCAGCAGGCAGCTTCAGGGGGCCAGGGGGGTGATCATCAAGGCTCATTCCACAGATCACAATCTTGCATCTCTTTTTGACAACATGACCCTTCCCAGGTACCAGCCACATGCAGATTACCCAATTCCCTTAGGGAAAATCCTTGAATTCACACATGGCCCTAAGCAGAAAAATTGGTGCTGCTAAATCATTTGTTTCCTACTTTCTAAAGCCTGGAGGGGGAGATGCTTGTCAGTTTTTATCCTCTCTTTGAAATCCCTTCAGCTCAAAGAGAATCTCCCTATCTTTTAAATCAAAGATTCCAAGAAATCTTGTCTCTCCCCACCACTTCAGAGGATCAAGTCACAATAAACGAGCCAATGTGCTCACAGGCAGAACACAAATTTGCAAAACAACCCTGGCTGTAAAACATAATGAAAACAGGTGTCCTTTGGGGAGAGGGATAGGGAAGGCAGCAGGAGCGTTTCTCTGTGTCCCTCAAGGGCTTCCTTTCTGTAGTTTGGTATTTTCTGAATACTTCAGGTAGAGCAGCTTCCCTGGGTCCCTGACTGCTCACACACAGCTGTGGGGAGCATCCTCAGCCCTGCCTCCTGTGGAAGGATGAAGAGCTGGGGCTGGGTGGGGCAGGAAAGAGGAGGAAGGAGCATCACCCACCTAACCAAGACATACGTTTTCTGATTCC